TGGATTCATTGGGTTTAATGGACAAATATAACTTTGTGTCATCAGCATAACAATGAAAATGTATCCCATGCTGTTTAATAACTTTACCTAATGGAAGCATATATAAAGTAAAGAGTACTAGTCCAAGCACTGAACCTTGAGGAACTCCATGACTCTAACTTTGGTGTATGAAGAAGATTCATTATTTACCTAACATTTTTTAGTCATCTGGACAGTTTCTTTTTTTTTGTGCTGAAACGCTTCGCCTTGGATCCAGAAAGCTTCTTCAGTCAAGGAAACACACAACAAAACTGATTCTTCCCCCAACAGCTTACTCCAAAGTGGAACAAACCAGTTATGTTGGTGCTAAGATGGTCTCTTTGTCACACCCCTCCTCCATTGCCGGCCCTCTTCCTTGATGATAGTTGTGTCAAACTGGTTGAAAACAACAAAGCCCAGGACCTGACTGAAAAATGTTGGATTGTATACCTGGATTATTGACCATGGACTTTGTTGTTTTCATTATTTACATTTACAAACTGGAATCCATCAGATAGATATGATTTAAATCAATTTAGAACCGTTCCTGTAATTCCAACCTCATATTCAAGTCTCTGTAACAGAATATTATGATCAAGTCTAGGGCTGGGCGATAAACACCTAAATGAATATCTCAATATTTTAAGATAAATCACAATATACAATATATATCTTGATATTTTTTTCTTTCCATAAAGTAATAAAAATTGATTTCAGAGTCAAAGCTTTGTCCCAGTTGTCACAGAGGCACATTTATTAACAACAGTTGTAACTGTACAAAATAAATGTCTAAAAATTAAACTATTTACATATATTAAAGTTTGTTTTAGGCATTTATTTACATATACAAGTTTCAAGACATTTGATAATGGCCATAGAAAATCAAAGCAAATATCTTCTTGTGTTTAGTATTTCACCCTGTTTTACGGCACCTGATTTATTAATAAATCTGAAGTCTGATTCTAATGAAGTAGCCTATATTCTTTTAACCTTTAATAACAAATATTAACAAGCTCTGACTCTGAAAGTGTGATTCAAACAGTCTTCAGGTGCTGCAAGCGGCCGGGGAAGGGCCGGTTTGCACTAAAGTGAGGGGAAAGAGGAGGGGTGGCATTTAGGTGACTGGGAGGAAAAAACTGGCAGATTTATTAACTGTATGTAGAGTATAAGACTATATTGTTTTATATCGATAGTCTCATTTTATATCGTTAATTAAATTATATTGATACTTTAAAATATCGATATATCGCCCAGCCCTATGATCATCTGTGTCACATGCAGCACTGAGGTCTAACAGGACCAGTAGAGACACAAGTCCATTGTCTGAGGCCATGAGAATATCATTAGTGACTTTTACTAGTGCTGTTTCTGTGCTATGATGAGCTCTAAACCCTGACTGAAACTCTTCAAACAGAAGTATTTGCAGTTTGACTCCCATCACCCTTTGGAGCACAAGTTAGGAGTCATCAGGACTCTGTACCACAGAGCAGACAGCGTCCCCACTAGCTCAGGAGCCAGGCAGAA